CAGGAACTTTTTCTGACCTAGAGAGTTCACCACAAGTAGACAGTAGATGATTAACAGAACACCTCTAAGCCAAAACCATCAGCTCATAACGTGAACAAAACATTAACCACTGAGGTTTGTTTCTCCACACCTTCTCTTCTATTCTCCCCGGCAACACTCCCACACTCTTTTTACTGCAACTCTTTCTGACCCCCATTCACTGGCACTCTCAACTTTGTACAAACCTCTGCGACCTTCCTCTACACAAATAAGACACACAGAGAACAAACTCCACAGCCTCAGAGCTCAACTATGAGAGAATAAGCTGAGGAGAGAGCAGGCCATACAGAAAGCAGTGGCAAACCCTTAAAATTTGTCACAGAAACACAGTGTCTATTAATTCAAGAGTTCAGAGATTCAGAAAAAAAAGCAATCTTGAAAGTGACATTAGCACTTTTTATCCATCCAGTCACGAGACCTGTTGATGAAACTGGGTAAAAATGACAAGGTTCAGGGGCCTTTCGTTTGAAGCTCCTTCAAGGATTGCTCTAATTGCCTTGTGGTAGATGGAAATGTCTAATTAGCTTGTGCTAGTGTTTTAGTTTGAAGGACTGTGTGTGCTGTGCTGGTGAGTTTGTGTACTTTTAAATGTGTATGTAACATAATGTGATTTTGAAAAATCCATAATTATTTTATTTAGCATCTTTTAAAGTTATGTTATGTTATGTTATGTTATGTTATGTTATGTTATGTTATGTTATGTTTAAGTGTGTAAATCCATAATGCATTTTTTTTATTTAATATATATTCTATTCTGTTCTATTCTATTCTATTTTATTCTATTGAAGTGTAGAACCTTTAGTATTTCTTATTCATTTTGTCATTTCGGTATTAAATAAAATATGTATTTTTGTTTTGATTTGCCATAAAAAGTATCCTAGAACAAGATACACTGTGATACATTTACATGAGAAACAAAATTTTTTTTGGGGGGGGGTGTTCCTAAAAAACATAAATCTAATAAAATGTAATTAGGTTAAAAGACAAAAAAAAGAAAAAGAAAAGAAAAATCAACTTAATTCTAAAAACAGGCATTATTGATTTAGCATAAAGTGAATGTACCTTCTTTGAGTGATATGTAGGCTACATATTTTTTGCAGAAAAACGATTTTCATTTCTTTTTCTTTTATTTTACAGTGTGACCGGCGGCTGTCATTTGCGTCTCTGCGAGGGGATTTTTCCTGCCTCAACTGTCCTCTATTTTCACAGCGCTAGTGAACCCGGTATATTCTGCGCTGACTAGACCCATTCAGCATTTATGTCTGTGTGTGTGTGTGTGTTAGAAGCGAACATTAAAAACTCCCTCACACATCCCACAATGCCTGAGAATGTTCTCTGGAGTCCTCACAGTCACGGAGTAACTCCTCTGTCTGCTGTGGAACCTCCTGAGGCCATAAACGCTCCAGTCACCGCGCGCATCTGCTTTGTCTGCCAGGACTTTCTCTCTGTTGTGGGAGCTTTTGCACAATACCTCTTGCTTGTGACATAACAGGGCAAAACGACAGCGTTTTAACACACCCTTCACTGAAACAAAAATGTGAGGAAGATTTGTTAGACGACAAAGCTGGAATTTTATCATTTTGTGGCTCAACAACACTTTGAATTATAATATTTAGCTAAACTGGGTCGTTTCTATGCAGTAGAATTTCATGTCCTTGTTTTACCCATTAAGTGTCTTAATGGGTAAAATACTAATCTCATCTCTAAAGATTGAAATTATATTAGTTTTAATGTATAACAAATTAACAGTTAAATGAACTTGGGTGAGTTTTAAATCATTTTAGTTTGAGTGGATGCTGTATTTTTTCCAGCTTGTAACTAAATGGCAATTTATTAAGAGAGTTTTCTTTATTTCTTTCCCTAATCAAAATGTTTATTTTTTGTGTCTTGGAAAAATTGTTTTACTGTAATTGCAAATCGATTTATGGATTTTCTTGATCATTTAAAATAAGGAAACTTTTACTAAATATATATTTTCTTCTGTTTTCTAATCACAATATTTCAAACAAAACTTTTATTTTATTATTATTTTTATTTTATTTTATTTTATTTATTTATTTTTTGGGGGGGAATATTGTTTTAAATTGGGAATTAGTGTATCAATGTATCGAAAGTCAGTGCCGTAATTACATTTTTCCTCCAAGAAATGTGATCATTATTGGTAGGATATACAACAGAAACACACACACTATAAAGAGTGTGAGAAGGGCCCGGTTACTCTTTGATAACCATCACATTCAATCTCCTCTCTTCACCATAATGAAACCGTGGCCATTTTGCCCTCTCTCAGTTGTCACGGAGTGATGGCTGTATGTTTTTTTGACAGCGTTTTAAAAGGCGGCTTTTGTTGCAAATACAAATCCTGAACCATGTATTAGTAATAGACTTTTTCTAACACGTTCCCACAAGTGTTGTTTCTAATGGACAGAGTGAGCCGCGGAGCTTTAATCTCACATTCAACACAGATGCGGTTGTCATTGGAGCAGACTCTTAAGTCAGCTCAAGCGAGCACTCACCAACTTAAAAGAGCCAGGTGTTCAAAATCATTCATTGTTGTCAAAGACGGTTTGAGGCTTTAGCTATCGGAAGAAGCCGTTCTCTGAGTTGAAGGCATTTGAAAGCTGAAATTTCTCTGTAAACTCTCTTTCCCCAGAATTCCCAGTCTACTTGATATCTTTAAAAAACATTCTGCCTTTGTGTTTTCTTGGCGCGGCTACAGACCTGACAGTGATGTGGAATTTACTCATGGGTTATTTGTCAACATGTTCTACATGTGTAAACTAGAATGAGGTTTCCTTAATCTGAGTCCTAGAGCTTCTCAAAACTTTTTTCCTGTCTACTCTGGAGATGCTTTACTACATTACATTTTCATATTTATTACATGGTGGAAAATGACAATTCTCATTCTGAACTGTCAATTTAAGAAAATCTAATTAAGAAGTCAAATTAAGAAAAGTATTACTGATTGCTTTATAAAAGAGGTATTCTTACAATACAGTCTGAGACACATTTATTTGTACTGCATATCTGAAAATAACAAAAGATTACCAAAGTGATTTTAAAGTTAAATACAGATAAAATATTAAGTTCTTACCAGTAAAACAGCACAACACAACACAAGACAAGACAACACCACATACCACCACAACAACACACAACACAAGACAAGACACAACACACAACAACACAACACACAACAACAACACACAACACAAGACAAGACAAGACAACACCACATACCACCACAACAACACACAACACAAGACAAGACACAACACACAACAACAACACACAACACAAGACAAGACACAACACACAACACAGAACACAACAAAAAACATAACCCAAAATAAAATAGAGTTTCACATTTATTTTTTTACATACATACTGGCTTCCATTGTGAATATATTACTATTACTTCTCACATTGTAAAAGAGCTATGTTTCTGAATGTATCTGATTTGACTCTTAAAATGTACTTTTGTTAGTGTAACCTAATGAAGTCAGGTTGATTGGGTCATATTAATATTTTTGACCTAATAAAACCAGTTAATTTCGATGCGACCTCTTGAAATAAGAAAATGTTTCACTAAGACATTTTGTCAGGGAAAATACAATGAGCTTGACATTTGCTTTTAAATTCTCCATCCCACTCTTTTCTTTTTCCATTCATCTTACACTGTAAAAAGGTGAACGTTTTTTTTATGTTACCTTAAAGAGCTATTTTTTGACTCTTGGAATCATGTTGATATATTTGTCTTAATAAAACCAATGATTTTTGATGTTACCACTTGAAGGACATTTTTTCAGATACCTGACAGAACAGTGTACAAACCAAGGGACACATTCAAATAGATTAAAATAATTACTTATTACAGAATTGATTGAGCTTGATTATAGATTTAGCATTTTTATGTGATCAATTTCTTTAAGGTGAATATTTGCCTTGTATATTAATTAAAAGCCCAGTTTGTGTCCATTTAAGGGATTCTGGCCCTTTATTGCTCAGCTTTTCGTGTGTTATTGTTGTACAAGTATCCACGAAACAGGACTTTGCTGACCCAGGGTTATGCCAACATGCAGCACACGCTCCAAAACCCTAGCAATTGCATTTATTTTCCTATAAAGATTATCACAGCCAATACTAAGAGCTGCCTGCATCCGCAGAGGGTTTGTGCAGAGTAAATGCTTTTGCTTCATTTGAATGTCATTTAGTGCTGAGATGTGAAAGAGTGAATTTAACGTTTTATGACTTCCATTGAATAATAAATGAGAACATTAAGGAAGCATACTAATGATGAATATAATTGGTTTTGGGTTTTTCCTTTAAGCACTTTTTGCAGATTCGTCCTCCACCGGTGCATGATGGGATAACTCATTTAGAGTGTCCAAACATTTTGCCCTTGAGAAAACAACAGTCATTGGATTTTAGCAGCTGCTATCCGACCGCTAAAGTTTCTCAACTCACCTGATCAGATTTAATATTTCACTCATTATCTATTCAACTTCTCGGTGGGGTCTTTGTTTTAATATTAATCGCTAATGTAAGATCAGAAAGCAATCCCAATCACTAGATCTAGTTAATAAATAATGATGATCTTTAATACTTAATCGCTGTCAGAATGGATAAATATCAAGATGGACAATGAGTAATTTGCAATGAAGTATTATCAGATCAATATGAATGTGTTTTGTCACTCTTATTCAATTCTGTTTTCCTCCTTGTTTTCTGTTTGATCTTTATTTACCCAGTCTGTGGACATGCTGTTCATTGATAAAGAGCTGTTACTCATTCTAAAGTAGAAATCTATATGCTTCACAAGATTTTGTGTGACCTTTTTATACTAAAATCTTTTTGTTTCATTTTTATTAACCTCACTACTTCTCTACCCCTGCAGGAATCTTAAAAGCATGGTCATGTTGATTTTAAGGGCATTTCATTTCTCTCCCTCTCTCTTTTAGTTGCAGGCCAGCGAGGAGAAAGTTAATAGCCAGGGCTTAGAAGTCAGCCCGCTCAAGTCCAAATTACAGGAAAAGACAGAACAATCTCAACAGCTGCAAGATCAAATTCTCAAGCAGCAGGAGGCTCTAAGTAGGGCAAGCCAAACTCTCAAAGACACCAGGAAAGCAGCTGGCAATAAGGTAAAAAGAGTGTCTCTTTTTCTCGCTAGCTTGCTCTCTCGTCCCTCCTTCCAAAAAAAGGGAAAAAAAGTGTCTCTGAACTTCTCTCCTCCCCTGTGATGCTGAATTCCCAGGATGTGTTGTTTAGAAGAATACGGAGTCTATTACACAAATTTTACAGTGTCTTATCTAAATTTCACCATTCAGAGACAGCTTGTATTTGTGTTGGCGTTCACTGAAACGCGTACGTTACCGTATTTTTGTAATCACAGAGGACTAACTTTGTGTAGAAAGAAAACAGCACGGCTGTGTCAAATCCAAACTGGCAAAGGATTCAGTATTTTAAGTGTTTTCTCAACGGAGCAAAGCTGTCTACTCCTTTTTGCTTTAAATGAATATCAGATGAAGAAGGGTGGAAATGTCCAAGTGTGAAGCTTCAGATGGGTTAACCTAATTTTCCCTGAGACAAAGTAGATGTTTGGCGATATGCATTTAATTTCCTCCACTGCAAAAACAACTGGCCGTTTAACCTCCCGACCCCTGCAAATAAATATACAGTATGTATAGGCAAACATAAGTGTCTGGTGATGGGTTTCAATTAATCTCTGGGACTTTTATCTTCTTAGGCAAACCAAACAGACGTTAAGTTCTGCATGGGTCCCGTTACTGTTTCCACATCTGCTTCTGTTTCGCTGCGAAAACCTTCTCTCTGATCTCATATGTTGAACTACTGTAACTTTGCCACTGTCTGTTTCCTGTTGGAAAAAGGGGAGAGGAGGAGGAAAAATGCGTTGAACAATAATATCTTTTGTTCCAGAGAAGTTCCTCCGTTAGTGCAGCTGAACAAATAGCCTTAATAGTTTGGTTTGAAAGAACTCCTCCCATCGCCGGTGTCTGATATTTATGCTTTCAGCAGCGCTGGACCAAGCCCTTCGTTTTCATTTCTCTGGATTTGTTTGAACAGATCATCCCTTCCACACAGAGGGGTTTGTTTCTTCCCCCCTTTCCGAATGCTACTAAATTAATAAGACGTCAAAGACAACAAAACCCATTGTTTTACTTACTCGACCCTGGCCTCCATTAGTGAGGAGACATGAGGAAAGATAATTTGTCCCTCTGAAGTTAGTGCACATCAGAGGAGAGAGACAATAACAAAGGCCTCCGCGGCGGGGGCCATGATGCATTCCATTCCTCCTCACATTACCCATCAGCCCCTGCTGCCGACTGGCCAGAGTGACTTACGTGTACTCTTTGATGACGCATTTTATGTGATAATTTACAGAGTAAATATAGCAAAGTTTGTAATATTTTTGCTTAAAATGCTTAAAATAAATTTTGCAGTGGTCTACAACAGAGGTTCTTAATTCCAGTCCTCGCGTACCCCCGCTCTGCACATTTTGTATGTTTCTCTTATTGCTTCATACGTTTGTTATATTTGACTGTAAGTGCCCTGCGAAGTGGACATTACCGGATATTCCGCCATGATTCCAGTTTGAAGGGAGCATATATGTTCCATACAAAGGGCATTTAAGTGTGCGAGACATGAATTTAAATTGTATTTATTTACAGAGGTATATTATGTCCCACTTCACGCTTCTCTAGTAAGTTTCGTTTGTGTGTGAAGATGCTGCAGGCAGCGGCGCAGCGCAAATCTGTAAATGAATATTCCGAAGTCAAGTAAACTTAAACGGATTTCCCCTGCTCAGGGAGTAGGGAGCAATGTACACTGTGTAGGGACCATGTCAATTGGAACACAGTTCATGCACGGAGCTCACTTCTAACGAGATGATGATGTGAATCAGGTGTGTTAACAAAGAGAGACGTGCAAAACATGCAGAGCGGGGGTACGCGAGGACTGGAATTGAGAACCGCTGGTCTACAATGTAATAGTATACAGAAATTTTGCCTGCTGTAATTTACATCCATATTCCAAACCTGGAAATGTGAAAAGGGTCCATTAGGGTTTTGTTTTGTTTTATTTTTTAACAATTTTAAACTTTAAATATAGTCTATTATTTATTTTTTAATTGTTATATACATACATACAAACATATATGTGTGTATATATAAAAAAATTACATTTTAAAATAACTGTTTTGCTGATTTGGTCCTCAAAAACATTGCACATTATTATCAATGTTGAAAACAGTGTTTTTGTTTTTTTTTATGTCATACTTTCCAAAAATGTTATATGTGTGTATATATATATATATATATATATATATATATATATATACTGTATATAACAGTACTGAATCATTACCATGATCGTATACCATGTACTTCAAAGAATGCTCTAATATTGCCATGATATATATATATATATATATATATGTATGTATATGTTATAATTATAAATACTATGACTAATTTGGAGATTCAAATACTTTCAAAATTGGTTTCTTCTTAAACATTGTTAACATTCTTGAGAAAAATTTTTTGTTATATTTTTCAACAGTATACTGATATTAAAATGTTTAATAGTTGTGATGCACATCTTTCCTTTCATCGTTGCTTTTAACTAAAAAAAACTTTAATTACAGATTTCGTCAGTAATTTAAGTGGACGAAATTGTCCCTGGCCGTCAGAATGACTTTGCAGTTCTCCTCAAACGTCAGACCCAACTCTCCTCTCATAGAAGAACTCTTGTCAACTCTTTCAGTTCGCAAAGTCTTAATAAACCCGCTTCTCCATAAATATTGGATGTGAGTGTCACTCACTCTATTTGTTTATTTGCTTGTTTGTTGGTTGGATATATCACACTTATTCCCAGATCTCCCTCTGTTCTCTGTATAGGATGTCTAAACGTCAGATGGGATTCTCTTTTTGTCAGTATTTGAAGCCGGGGAGTGTGTGCAAGGAGGGGCCTTGGAGATACGAGCTGTAGTGATTGATTTAAAAATATTTCCTCCTCCTTGATTTCAGGGGCTTCCTGTCCATAATGCACGTCTTTTAGCATAAAGTTCTCATCTAAAAGTTGTGAGTGATTGACCCAGTTGGTGGTGGGTTGTGCTACGTGCTAGCTGCTTGTGGCATGTTTCGCTTTGCTAAATAATCAACAAATGCTTGCGGCTGTCACAAAGTGGCAGCAGCGTAACTTATCAAGAGTGCAGTTCATAGTCGTATTTCGCATTATTTTTGTAATACTTCTTATGCGTCTCATCTAATGCACCGTAATGCGATTCCATATATCGTTGACCTTTATATTGGGGTCAGCTTACTACTAAGATGCACTTCTATTTTATTACTTTTGCTCTGTAGCAAAGGACATTTGTTCTACTCTGCAGAAAATTCAGTTTAGTCTTAAAATTATGTATCTGATGGTCTAAATGAGCTTCTGTAGTTTGACATTTAATTTGAGTTTGGAATACCACAAAGGTACAATGGAAACAAAGTGTATAATAACAACAAATACGGCGTTGTTTTGCTACCTCCGTTTCTGCATTTCTGATGTGCTATTAAAGCTGATTTGCTTTTAATGTTTCATGAGAAGGTTACATCCTTCTTTTAGGAGCGATGCATTCACACTTTGCTTTTAGTCTTCGTTTTTCTTTTCTTTTTTTCTCTCGCTTTCAGATGCGGTTAATGTCAGTCGCTGTGCACTGGAGCACATCAGATGTCAGGCCTATGCAATTGTGCTACAATGAGCCTGTTAAATGTGCTTTGGAAGGGTGTAACGCAATATATTATGCATGCATGAAATGTACAAACACAATGAAATTATGCACTACAGATATGATACAGTTCTCTCAAGTCTTGCGGAGGCACTCTGTGATACATTTTAAATGCAATTTTTTTGTGGCCACCGGCAAAATGATGCTGCTGTCTAATGGTGCATTCATGGACATCGAAGAACTCACTTACACTCATGCTCACACACTCATTTTGTTGTGCATGCTTCAGATGACCTGTGAGCTTTTTGAATACCTAGAATTATTTATCATTTTGTATTAAACTCAGTATTTGAGTGTTTGTGGTCTTTTTATGTTATGATTTTTATTAATAACAGATTTCATCTTTTTTTTTTTCTCCTCTGTGATATGGTCACATTGACATTTTTTGCTTTTATGATTTTATGCCTTCATAATGTTTTTTTTTTGTTTTTTTTTGACTTTTTAAAGGCCTTTTATGTTAAACGTAATTGTTTTAATCGCATACCAGAACCAGTCATTATAAAAATATGAATTATTACATTTTTTAAAACCGTGATAATTTAAACAAAACCTGAACTAATCATAAACCATTTAAGTGTTTAGTGTGCAAAAATCATTTACCAATTATTGCACAAATAACCATGCTGTTGTGGATTTCATTGTCATAACAACAAAAATTCTGCCTTTATTTATTTGTTTGTTTTATTTTCTTTTTTCTTTTTTTATTTACCAAGGTGCCAAAAGTGTCAGTTAAATATAATAAAATGTGATGTATGAGGACAACAACGAAAAATGTCACAATCAAGTAAATATCACTTGTCAGCAGAATGTATATTGTGCTTCAATTTCAGTCGAGCTGTAATTTTGTCAGTTTTTTTAAATTTTTTTATTTTTTTACATTTTTATTTATTTGTGAGTATATAGGATGAATTAAATGCCAAGTGGGAAATTAACCTTCACACGACAAAGTAGACTGTCATTTAAAATTTTAAATGTCATTTTTAAACAATATCACGGAATGTTTAGTTCAGTACATAATTTGAGATTATGGAAATTATTTTTCTTTTTTGGAAATAAATGACAAATTCAAAAAAACAAAAAAGAAATATTACAGAATTCTCATGAGATGTATGGATATCCATTGTTAGTGGACAAATAGTGCAAGTTGACATTTTTTGCTTTTATGATTTTATGCCTTCATAATGTTTTTTTTTTGTTTTTTTTTGACTTTTTAAAGGCCTTTTATGTTAAACGTAATTGTTTTAATCGCATACCAGAACCAGTCATTATAAAAATATGAATTATTACATTTTTTAAAACCGTGATAATTTAAACAAAACCTGAACTAATCATAAACCATTTAAGTGTTTAGTGTGCAAAAATCATTTACCAATTATTGCACAAATAACCATGCTGTTGTGGATTTCATTGTCATAACAACAAAAATTCTGCCTTTATTTATTTGTTTGTTTTATTTTCTTTTTTCTTTTTTTATTTACCAAGGTGCCAAAAGTGTCAGTTAAATATAATAAAATGTGATGTATGAGGACAACAACGAAAAATGTCACAATCAAGTAAATATCACTTGTCAGCAGAATGTATATTGTGCTTCAATTTCAGTCGAGCTGTAATTTTCTCAGTTTTTTTTTATTTTTTTATTTTTTTACATTTTTATTTATTTGTGAGTATATAGGATCTTGCAGATTCTGAAAGTATGCGAGCTTAATTTAATAACTTTATTTTTAAATGTTACCATTTTTAATTTTTTATTTTATTTATATATATATGTGTGTGTGTGTGTGTGGTTAGTGGACAAATAGTGCAAGTAAAATTGCAAACTTGTACTTTTTCTAGTGTATTTTAGTTTCACTCGAGGTTGCTGTTTTGAGTGTATTTAGAGGTCTTGAACTCCGACCAGACCTTTTCTTCATGTAAAATATCAGCTTGGCTCTGAGCCGGAGTGTTTGTCCTTGCTCTGAGCTACAATGCCTTTACTACTTAGTTTCAGAGTGGAAGGCATCAGCCACAGACAGATGGCCAATACAAAATTGTTTAAGCTCTGTTTCGATTGATCCTGACTATGTTTGCATAGGCCACAAAAGCAATTATTCTCTGAATATAGCTTTGAAAGGACAGCCAAAAGCAAACAGAAATGCAGGAATTAGTGCAAATTGGAGACATTGGCGAGTAGTATTGGATGACAGGTTAGCCCATAATGAAGGGGAAACTGCGGTAATTAAATCTCAGGCTGCATTTGTGTGGCTCTGCGCTGTCCAGCCGCTGGAAAGACATGCGGGAAAAAGTGGTGAAAAAACGTTTCACTCTAAAGTTGCTCCAATGCTCCGTCATTTGAGACTGTTCTTCATGAGTGCAGGGTGAAGGTCAAGGAGCTATCTTAACTCCATCAATCCTGCGGACAGTTACAAACGACCTTTCACATCCCATAAGTTGCTCTATATGCCGAATTGGGGGCGATACATATTTCTGTGTTTAGGGGACGGGCTGCGTAAGAGACGTGTTCTTGCGGGGAGCAATGAGCGTGGTGGCGAGATCGGTTTGTTCACCCCCACATGATGATTGAAGCTAATATCTCATTTAAAGAAACAGACTGGTGTTACAAAGGCTGAGATTGAAAATGTTGTTGAAAGCGCAGATGGACTCTCAGAATATAAAGAGACTTATTAGGCCATGCAATCGAACACAAAGACAAAAGCAAGAGAGAATACATAAAAAATGCAGCGTATTTGTAGTGCAGTGTTGTCTTTGTCAAGCTGTTATTGCTAATATTATGTTGAAATAATAGGTTTAGAAAAATAGTGGAATGCTACAAAACAAGCGAATGAGAGAAAGAACATAAATCTCTGTTTCAAAAAATCTTAGGATGAAACTTAAATGAAAATTAACATTGTGGTTGTCTGTGATTTGTTATTTGCAGATTTACTAGAGGCAAAAATACTGAAGACTACTGGGAAAAAACAGGAGGCAAGTCTTTGAACAATTCTATTTGTTTGTTTAGAGATGTAGATCAGCCTCCAGTCTGACAGCATCCTTTTATGTTTCACGCCACATTGTCTGTAATTGTAATAAGATGTTTTGGGAGTGTTTCACATGCGTTTGCTTCATTTCTGTGCTGTGTTCAGTGGCATCAGCAGGTGGAGAGACAGACATGGTGGAACCACAGGCGGAGGGTGAACCAGCTGCAGGGTAAAGCTATGAAGTCTACGAGGTTTGGAGTGTCTCACTTTATACCCTATAGAGATTTTTTTTCTTTTCTTTAAAAACACTTTTAAAATAGATTTCCTGCCACTTGGAGCCATATATATTCCGAACAAAAGATTTTCAAGGTACTGGACATACTACCTGTACAACGTTCACAGCCCATAGCATACAAAACACTCTTTTATTATTTTATTTTATTTTATTTTATTTATTTATTTATTTATTTTATTTTATTTTATTTTATGCATCATATATTATTTATTATGTGTATTATTATTTATTTTTTATTGACAGATGAAGTATTGACGCTACAATTATATATGGGATAAAATGCAGTGAAATGCTTCATTTGACAATGTGAGAATCAATTTTAAATGCTTTTGGAAAAATATAGTGGAACATGAATTTTTTTGTAATCATTTTTATGTATAATGTTATTATTTATATTTTAGTTTATTTTTATTGTATTGTCATGTTTTATCAAATATTATTACAACAGTCTACGATTATAAATTTTAAATGTTTGTGGAAAATAGGATAACATACTGTATTGTGGAAAGTTGATTTAATTTTGTAATCATTTTATGTGTAATTTATATTTATTATTTTCATTATAATATTTATAATTTTATTTTATTTCATCAATTATTATTTTGACAGGCTATGAAAGTGTATGGTATAAAATGCATTGAAATGTCAGTGCAATGTCAGCATTAATTCTGAATGTTTATGGAAACTGGGATAAAGGGCAAAGTTAATTTATTTCCAAGTGTCTAATTTAAGTGGAATGAGCTTCTTTTTTAATGCT